GAAGGAAAGAAAGGATGCAAGGAAGGAAGGAAGGAAGGAAAGAAAGGATGCAAGGAAGCAAGAAAGGATACAAGGAAGGAAAGAAAGGATGCAAGGAAGGAAGGAAGGAAGGAAAGAAAGGATGCAAGGAAGCAAGAAAGGATACAAGGAAGGAAAGAAAGGATGCAAGGAAGGAAGGAAGGATGCAAAGAAGGAAGGAAGGAAAGGATGCAAGGAAAGAAAGGATGCAAGGAAAGAAGGAAGGATACAAGGAAGGAGGAAAAGAAAGGATGCAAAGAAGGAAAGAAGGGAGGAAAGAAATAATGCAATGAATGATGAAAGGAAGGAAGGATACAAGGAAGGAAAGAAGGAAAGAATGAAGGAATGAACGAACAAGAAACCAAAGAGCAAGTGAGAAGGAAGGAAGCAAGGAAGGAAGGAAGGAAAACATTTTATTATCCCACTACATTTTCATTTTTCTTAGTTTTTCATTCCTAATGTTCAGAATGTTCAGTTTGAAAATAAAAAAAGAAACTCAGCAGTTAAACAATTAGAGGTCTGTTTTAAACACAGTTGATCATTTATCTAAAGGTTGTTTTTAAAATAAAATCCTATCCTAGTTTGCTAAAATTCCTCAAAGTCCGAGCATCATTAAAACCTTCCCGGATCAATTTTCACAGGCCCAGATCAAAGAGGGTATTGAGAAGAAGAAAACGTTTAGAATAAAGGGTCATTTCAAAATGTTTTCCAGATAAAATAAACATCTCACCCAGATCACATGTTATTAATCTGATGTTTAGCAGGAGAGATGTAGAAACACTGGATTTGTACATTTACTGGTCTGCTTCTGAGCTCAAGGAGCAGATTAAAGCGGCATAATGGAGTTCTCTAATGATACTGCCACCAGTGGCCAAAACACTGAACTGCAGCACGTTTCCGCTCGTTCTCGTAGCTCAAACTTAAAAAGATTTTTTTTTAACCTTTTTTCCTCTTATCTGGTGTTGCCTTTGGTGTCTAAGTTAAGCTGGATTTTGACCCATCTTGGATATCATGCTTCAACTGTTTACTGGGTCAGACCCATCGAACATGGAAGCTTTGAACGGGTCACCTGTGAGAGAAGGGCAATGCATTTTGTGAAGGCTCTGCTCTGGCTTCGCTGTGCTTCGGTGTGTTTGCCGTGACTCTGTCCTCATCTGTCCCGTTGATGCTCTCTGAAGCCAGAGGTGACTGTAGTTCACCTGGAGCAGACTCCTGTTTTAACATAAAAGGAAGTTAAATGAATCAGCAACTCCAGTCTCAAGACATCCATCTGAGTTTTTAAAAAAAGTCACAATTAGAGAATACCTTAAAATTTTAACTATAATTCAAAGTTTTTCTTTGTAAGTAGTAGGGAGAGTAGAAGGAAATGATGATCATGGAAAATATTTACTCCTTCTTGTTGCAAAGTAATATAGAGCTGACAGAATATTGAACTAAGTGTTGGAAAGTAACGACAGTGTCTTCGTCTGAACTAAACTGTAAAGACCTGGCATTAAGGGAGCCATCTTAGGCTACATCCACACAGTCCAATAAGTTATCCAAAGAAAAACTTCAGTGTAAAGATTTAAAAAAAGCATTTAGCAAACAAAAATAGGCATTGTAATACTTATGCCTTCTACTACTGTAGAGTAGAGGTAAAGAATGTAGAGGAAAGAAGGGAGGAGTAGGCGTTTGTGTGGATTGAGAATAAACAAATAGTAAAAAAAAAAAAAAAAACAGAACCACGAATTTCTGCAGGCAACCCTGGGTTAAATTCGTTTGGATTACAAGAAAGTAAAAAGTGTGTTTAGATTACTCATAAAATGAGCCAATCAATGTGTGCTTAGTTAGTTAGTTACACCAAACGCCCAGATGTGCAAGAGTTGTCAAATCAGAGTAATTATGCCAAGATAAGCACAGCTACTGTTATTTCAACTTCTGAACACATATTCAACACACCATTAAACCATTTTACTCAGACAGACAGAGCACTAGAAGCATTGATTCATTTATTTATCTAATCAGTTTCTCTGCAGAATTCTGACTTCAGATTAACGTCTCTGACATGTAAAGGTATAGAGGATGATCTTTTATTTGAATGGATCATCTAAATCAGCGGGTCCTCCTAATTGTCAATCATTCTGGTGATATGTTTACATAAACCTGTCCTACGTGCTCATCCTAAGTTAGCCATCTTTTTCTGTGCATGCACACTTTCAGGCATATGTGATGAGCTACGTTTTCAGACAGTCATTGAAGCTCACCTTTCTCACCTTTGAAAGTAGCCGAGGGTCGTAAGAGAAAAACACCAGAATACCTTTAATGCCGATACTTTCATTTTTTTGCTTTTTAAAAAAAAATCTATATAATACACAGCAATACAGTTACAGCGATCTAGTCTCTTCAGTTCTATGTTTGCAATGCAGGTAAGTTATCACAGAGCAATTAGTGGTGATTTATACTGGCGTTCATTTGTTACCTTTACTTATTACAGTGTTTATGTCAAGCCTGATGCCTTCAGTGACACAGTTCATTTAACAAAAGCATCTAGCAATGTAGTCAGCATGGAGTTTTTAAGGTAAAATTTCAGAAATGCCCAAAGATTGAGGAATGTAGCTCAACCAACCTGGGCCAGATTACCTAATCCACGGCTTCAGAGGTTGGTCAACTCCATTCAGCTCAGATGTGAAGAAGTTTAAAGTTATTAATTATTCACGGCAAACTGAATGTTCTTGATAATTTTCAGTTTTTTAGTTTTAAGGAGAAAATTTGATTTAAAAATGTATTTTTCATGGTTTGTTTGGGAAGACAGGCTGTCAAAACAAAATGATATTTTAGGGGTTTCCCCTCTATATAGAATCAAACAAGCAGGTTTTAATTTTTAAAAAATGTCTCCTGCTAAAGAGAAGTATAATAGTATAAAAACACCAGAAGGGAAGTTAAGAAACCAGTGGATGGTGACACAGATTTGAGTCTAAATACTGGGAATAATAAAGAAATGTACAAAAAGGAAGTCGCTAAAAGGCTGCGGGAGACAAACTGGTGCTCAAGAAGAAACTGGACTTCCTTAGAAAGCTGTAAGAGATTTAATCCCAACAGAGGAGCTGATGGCTGCAACACAGCAGACAAAGCGCCCTGCAGCGGATAGTGAGGGGAGTGTCCAGCCCACAGAGGGAGCTCTCAGTTCTCAGTGAACTTCTTGATCTGCTGCCATCAGGCAAACGGAAACCAGCTAAAAGCAGAACCAGCAGGCTCAGAAAGTCCTGAACGTCTAGTTGGATTCCTTCAGGCGCTTAAACGTTATAGCTTGTAGTTTAGATCCCAGAGAAATGTTGTGTTTATCTCTACAGTGGTGTCAGCTGCCATGATCGATCATCAGAATGTCCACATGTTATCACATGCTCGTCTGATGCTCAGCTGTTTGGTCACCTGGCACGGCCGCTCAGCTGGATCTAGTCTGGTTTTTCTCAGCATCAAGATGAAGCATCCGGCTGAGGTTCAAGTTTCTCTCTTTTTTCAAAGCAAACCAACTAACCTAGATTAAAACCGTGAATTATATCAGTAAGCTAGAATATCTATTAAATCTCTAGATCTTAAGCAACAATGCAGCCTAACTCAACAGGATGACCATTAGGTCTGAGTGAAAAGCAGCTGAGGCTGACAGCTGGAGAGAGGATGACAGAGGAGTTGGACTGGGGGTCTGAGGAGTCGGAAAGACTGGATTATCTCCCGGAAAACAGCGACAGGGACCAGGTTTAATAAAATCAGGATAAACGTGAAGGAAAAGACTTGGACTGGAGTCAAAGAGGAGGATTCCTTCATTTAGTTTTACCTTCTTTTTACCGGGTTTGTTGACAGACAACACATTCCTTTTTACAGCGCTGCCCTGAGAAGAAACCGTTAGAGAGAGGGAGAGAAAGCAGAGGAGCCTCAACAGGTTGCTGAGGCTGGCATCTTAAAAGACACCATGAAGCGCCACACAAAAGTATAAACCTTAAAAACCCAAATATCAATATTATCTATTGGAAGATGAGTGTCATTTCGGGCTGGTCTCTACTAAAGAAAATGGATCCCCACAGCATGATGCTGCCTCCACCATGCTACCCCATAAGTAAGGGTTCCCTAACATTGGCTGATCGGCTATCGATATCTCTGCAAAGGTTTAGAAATCAGCCATTGTCAAAGCTCTAAGCCTTTCATTTATATCTGAGGACGCTACCTTTAAAACAAGAGCGCGTTGTTTCATCATTTTGAGTTTTTCAATATAGTATGATTCAAACCTTTAAAATTTATCGTGACTTTATAAAACCTGTTGGGTCAAGTGCACCCCCTAACCATAACCATAGCTTATAGATGTATGTTTCCAGTTTTGTTTTTTAACTTTGTGGGTGCGGCCTATAGTCCAGACAATATGGTAAAAAAAAAAAAAAGAGTTGAAAATCAGACCTAAAAACTAAATAAAAACCAATAAAATTTTCTAAACTATTTAAATCTTGCTTTAGCCACAGATGGATTTAGGCTAAAAAATAATATTGTAAAAAAAAAAACCTGAAAAAAAAAAAAAACCTGAAAAAAATAAAAATAAAAACAACTAACCTAGATTAAAACCCTGAATTATATCAGAAAGATGGAATATCTATTAAATGTATTCTAGATCTTAAGCAAGGATGCAGCCTATCTCAACAGGATGGCCATGAGGTCTGTGTAAAAAGCAGCTGAGGCTAACCGACGTAGTTTATAGCTGAATGTTTCTAGTTTTTTTTTTGTTTTTTTTATTTACTTTGTGGGTGCAGCCTATAGTCCAGAAAATACGGTAAAAAAAAATCAGCAATCGGATATAAAAGCTAAATAAAAACCAATAAAAAATTCTAAACAATTTGAATCTTGCTTTAGCCAGATATAGATTAAGGCTAAAAAGTAAAATTGTACAAAAAAAAACAAAAAAAAACAAAACAAAAAAAACCCAAAAAAAACTGGATACTGTGCTAAAAGCTTTTCTTTACTCATGATTTATAACCTGGATTCACTGGATTTTATTGGCAGGAACAGAGTAAAGGAAGCTCTGTGTGCAAATTCATGCTGCAGTTTCCAAAAAGTAAATACAGAACATTTATAAAACATACATTGAGGTTTGGGTTTCTAATGATCCAAAATGCTTGTTAATGTGATGCGGCTACTGCGATTGTCCCCACATGGTTAACAGCACATACTCATTACCTGCGAGGGAGTGCTGCTGAGCTCCGTCTTCTCCTGGGACTTCTCCTTTGCTAACCGAGCTGCTTCCTTGAACTCCGCAAATTTTTCTGCAAACTGAAACAAGAAGAGCGGCTGATTTCTGCTCTCTGCTGGAAATAAAAGTAAATAAATCAAACAATAATAAGCCACGAGGAGTGTCTCCAACCTTGCTCAAGTGGCTCTCGGACGAGAACCCGAGGCCGTAGACGGTATTGGCCCGGCTGTCGGCCCACTGGCCGAACTTCTGTGACGTCTTGGTGAAGGTCATGTTGGGGGTGATGGTGCTGTTGATAATAGCCTGCGATAGGATGAAAGGTACGTTATTTGGGACTGGATTATTAAGCCTTTGGTGAATCAGACAGCTGTATGGAGGCCATAAACCCTGATGCTGAGTTTTTTGCTCCCAGTTTGGCGCACAGGAAGCTGTCAATAAGGAGCTTCTAATTGAGTCCATCCCGCTCTAATGTTATTGATCAGTGTGGGAGGCCACTCTGGGTTCACTGGTATAGTTAGCTCAATTTATCTGGTGTTGAAGTCAGAGTCGATTGCTTTCCTGGTGCTTTCAACATGTCTCTCCTTTCCTCATCTATAAAGGTCTTAAACTAATTTCTTTTAGGAAAAAAAAAAGGCTAATAGAAAAAACTTTCACTTGACGTCACATCTAAGCACATTAGTTTTCATTGTCATTCTTAAAATTCCCCTCATACCAGTATTACAGTGTTTCACATGTGCTATTAGCACATAACCACACTTTCATGTGATATGACTTCTAACACAAGGGAACGTGAACATACGACAAAAAAGGCCGGCTTTCGGAAAGTTGATTTTTTTCCCTCATATTTACTTTCTTTTGTTTTTTATTATTTATAATTCATCATTTTAAATGTATTTTCAATAATTGCTTGGGATAAATATGCATTTAATTGTTGAATTTCCCCAGTTAATGGTATATTTTAATATTTAAGTCATGTATTAAAACATAAACACGTGAATTTAACATCTACACATTTCATGCTCCATTTATTTATTTTATGGGGCTTATAAGATATTTATAATTTTTTTAATTACATTTAATCATAAATCTTAATGCATTTCTAATTTTTTAAATGGGACATTTACTTTTATCATTTAATGGTATATTTCCTTTAATATTTTAATCCAAATAAAAAAAATGACATCTATGTATTCGTGGTTAATAATGTTTTTCTTTTAAACATTTTGGCCCACTATAAACACTGCCTGGCCAAAAAAAAGACATTCTACTATTTTGTTTAGCTTTAATCACGACACGCATTCACTGTAGTATTGTTTCAACAACCTTCTGCAGTGTCACAAGATTTATTTTCCCCCATTGCATTAATCTTTCATCAAAGTCTTGCACGGATGATGGTAGAGTCTGACCTCTGCCTGAAGCCTTGCGCTGCACATCCCAATGATTCTTAATGGGGTTAAGGTCTGGATTCGGTGAATCCATGTGAGAAAATGATGAGTCATGCTCCCTGAACCACTGTTTTACAATTCGAGCTCAAAGAATCCTGGCAGTGAAATCTTAGAATACGCCCATCCCGTCAGAGAAGAAAAATCAATTTATGGACAACCTGGTCATTCATTCTTTGAACTTATTGCACCCCAGATCTTCTCACCCTGATGAATCCCTCACTCTGGGACAAGGAGCATAAAAATCAGACCAAAGGACCTTCTCATTTCTCCAGAATATGACCTTCAACTTGCAAGTTAAAGGCCTTTTTTTAATGGTTAGCCTTGCTGATTAGTGGTTCTCTTAACGTTAAAGCTTTTTAATCCCTTCACATTGCAGATATTGAAATGCACTTACTTCCACTATTAAATATACTCTAGAGTTCTATCGTTTTTCTTTGAATTGATCCTTCCTATTCTTCCAGTTGCTAATAATAAGTCGGACAGTTCTTAAACAGATTTCAGTAGTCTCTGCTTTCTCCTTAGACCTTTTCTCTGCTTGCTGCATGCCGACGATTTGACACTTTTTCAAACAGACTGACATCTTTTCCACAACCAGGAGATGCTTTGTTCTGTGTGGTTGTTTAAGTTGCACCAGTTGGCGTCAAATGACCTATTGTCGGCTCCAATAGGAGGCTCATAGATTTATGCTGAATTTAATCCAGTTGGTGACTCTCTTTTTTGTTTTTTTGTTTCAACCAGCCAGTTTAGTTCAGGGATTAAATCACCCCAACATGTTCTTCCCCCAACCCTTACTTTGGGAACCTCTGTTAAAACAAACTGACCAAGAAGTGAGAGAGAATAAAAATATATGCAACAACTACAGAGTCACTATTAACATGAATATATATATTTTTTTTTCCTCGTTTCAAATCGTGCGAATCACAGCAGTGCAGTAAAATCTTTAGTATCATTTGAATATTTCAATATTTTTTTCCATTGATATAAAAAAAAACTCACTGGTCCAAACATGTATAAAAATGCTGTTTTTTAAATCTTAATAAAAGAATAATAAGCAGGTATAAATAAAGATGAACTAAAATAGTTGGAGAAAATCGATTTAAAAATGGTTTTAACTCTATCCTGGTATCCGATCATTAATGATCCGATTAGCAGCTAACTGAACAGAATTAATATCTTAATTTACTCATAAATTGCATATTATAAGAATTTAATAAAGACTTATAATATTAGCTGAGGTAGGCTTTACTTTTCCCCCACATAAATGTCAATAACTTTTCTGGTTCTGTGTAGCTGCTTTATTTTATTCAACCACTGGAGGGCAGCAAACACAACTTCAACCTCAGAAAAATTGTTTCACCTTGTTATTTGGAGCTACAGGTCGGTTAGACATTGATTAGATTAGAGAAGGAAGGGTGTCAAAGATCTTCCAGAGTGTTTTGTCTGTCATCAGATGAGCGAACATGTGAATAGGAGTTTCAGTCAATGTGCTTTGTCTTTGTGTGAATTTCTCCTCAGCTCTAGCCCACAGGCCTGCCTGCTATTTCCAGCAGAACGAAGCCAACTTGCAGATTCAACAACAACACCAGCAGTCACCCAGAGAAGGTCTTACATAACTGTGCCTCGCAGGACTAAAATAATCTTTGCCACATACATATCAGAGCCCTGTCTGCCTTCACCGTGCCCCTGCTGAGCGGCGAGGCCAGGCATGCAACACTAATTTAACAGAAAGTTTAAGAGGCCTGTCTGGTCAATGTAAAGACTTTTAAAACATTTTATGTCTTAAACAACAAAAAAAAAACAATCACTGTGAATCACTGGGTTCCCAACGAGAACGAACCTTGGAGCCGTCCAGGCTAATAATCCGATAAACATTCCTGGTACTGTCGAAGAAGTAGGAGACAGTGACGGCGTGCTTGCTGGTGGGAACCCAGTTCTTCTTGGTGTTGGGGTCGATCTGGAAGACGTGGGCTCTCGTGCTAAAGATGGGCTGCTCACTGCACAAGAAGAGAGACGAGAGAAAAACCAACAGCATGAGGGTCTCAATAAACTCCACGGCTTTATATCTTAGTGTTTAGTTACATTAACAGAACTTTTTCATGTCGTACCCTGCTAACATGAAACAATTGTGTTAAATATGGTTAAGTAGATGCCAAAAAGGGCTGTATTATTATTTTTTTTAGTATATATATTCAATATGCAGAGTGTGATTCGCTTTAAATACGCCTTTTCCTATTTTGGGTGCAAGCAGTCTGTTAAGATCAAAGCATCATCTTTACTGTAAGGCAAGGATGTAAGACTGTGAATTTAAAGAAAGTTCAAAGAGTAATCGGGAAAAAAATGTCTCTTTTCTCACTGACTGGGTCTTAAATATCATCAAAATGTTTTATAAAAGAAGACATATGACGGGTATGGTGGATCGATCTCTGTCGCATTCACTGCATTTTATAGCTGCTACAGAAACGTTTCGGGTTTCCACAGAGAGAAAGACATCCAAAGCCTTAAGAGGGTCACCTGATATGGTTTCTTAAAGCGACGGCCTTCCAGGAAGAAAAGCATGAACCCAGGCTGAGGGAATTAAAAGGTTTGTCTCTTTTCTGAATTGGTTCATAAACAATATGAGAAAACTGCCTTAAAAACAATCTTAAATAGTGTATAAAGATAACTCCCCAGTTTTCATCTAAACACATTATAAATGTACCGTTCTATATGTGTAAAAACTCTCCAAACCCTTTCAGATCGCACTGTGATACTAAAACTAGATTTGGGTTTTAATATTCACGTATTTCAGGATTTTTAGGGTGTGTGTAAAAGTGTAGCTTTCTGTTGTCATGTGGCTGCCTTCAGAATAGCCCCGCCCGCTGCTGGCAGTATGAAAACAAACACCATCATCATCATCTGTTTTAAGTTTTTAAAGATCATAAATTTAACATTTAGACAATAAGTCAAAGTTCTTATCATGAGGAGGAGTTTACTGTTCTCCCTGCTGCCTTCAGCATTCAATGCAGCTCCAGCAGATTCCTAATCAGCTTCTTCCCCACTGACATCAAGACAGCTGAGTGTTGAAAAGACTAAATCATGTCACAGTCTCTGCATCAACTGACCATATCAATGCTTTTTTCCCCCTAGTGTTTACATTTGATCACTGCTGCACTTCAAGAAATGGAAATGTCATGACAGCTGTTCAAAACAAAATCTTGTTTTGTATACATGCTGTGTACTATATACATAATGACAATAAAAGTTGTCTAAGTCTATAAACGTTATAAATGTCCACCACTATTCAAAAACAAAATATATAGAATATTTATATGAATAATTAGAGTGCCGTCACAATAATCAGTTGCGCATGTTATTTTTGGTACTATTGTAAAGGTAAGAAATAAAAATACATTTCCAATAGAAACTGCTGTTAATATGTCGGATTTATTTTTGTTTAAAAAAGAAAAAAAATGTATTTTTTTTTTTTTTTATTGCCTGAAATTCAGTTTTTTTCAATTGACTCGCTAATAAAAACTATAGGAAACACCTGCGATTGTATTTATCAACATATTTGCCAGAATTTCAGTAAATAAGGACTGGAAGTTTCTAAGGATAGCAGCCATGAGGGGGCGGAGCAAGTATGTGTCCTAAAGCTCTTTATTTTTTATTTTTATGAAAGAGTCCTGCATGTTTCTTAAAGCTTTAAATAGCATTATTGGTGTTTAAAGTGCTATAAAACCAACAGTATTTGTTCTAAAAAGAAAAAACACAAACAATATTTATCAAAAAAATTTAATTTGTGACTCATCGTTTGGAGGATTTAAAAAATGGATCATGTTTGACCACCTTAAAAAGATGGTGAAAATGGGAATCATGGGTTTTCTTCCCGTCGTGTAAAAAGAGTTGGAATCTGAGTGCCGTGCTCTGCCCAACACTTTTGCTTTGTCATGGGATGCTTGTCAGGATGGAAAACCTCCCTTCATCATCCTATACTGCTTTATTGCTTATTTAAGATTTGTTTTTATTACAGAAGATGAGTAATGCCAAACCTGACAGGAGGAAAGAGGAAGAGAAAGAAAAAAGAAGGAAAGATGAA